GGAATGTTTTCTTAATTGTCCAATAAACTTTGGAAATGGTCTTTAAATTTTAACTTCTTCAGTAGCATACCAGATTTTCCACTGTTTAATACCTACTGCCACTTTTTATACATATGGTTAGAGTAATGTCTCAGTGCTACCAGCACCTGGGAGGCAGTAACAGGAGAATCGTACTTAGTTTAAGGCAAGCTTGTTCTATACAGTGAATTCCAGGACAGTAAAGTTAACATAGAGAGACCCTGTCTCAAACAACAAAACAACCCCACAAACAATAACATAGACAAATAAACAAAAACAAAGAAAATAATGTATTTCCTGGCTTCTTTTTCATCTCTAATTCTACCTTCTTGATTACTTGCAGATTAAACATCCTGCATGGGCTTCTCTTGTCTTTATTTAGTTCTATTGTGTCCTTTGGGAAGTTTCACAAGCAGCGGCTTGGATGTGTGTCTTGTAGCTTGCCAAGAGACCTCCTAATTTGAATGTCTCCTATTTGCAAACATAATAATAATAATAATAATAATAATAATAATAACATAATAATAATATACTCCAATTTCTTTAACATACATGTTCTTTTTCTTTACTCTTTTTTGTCTCCCATTCTTGCTGATAAAATACCTTGCCTGAATTTTTTGTAAAAATTTCAGTTAGACTCTGGATCTGTTTCTTTAGACTCTGGATCTGTTTCTTTGATTTCTTACGACAGTTAGGATATTAAAAATCAATAACATGAACTGTAAAATATCCTACAGAAACTTATGAACTAGACTGTGAGTAATGAATGCATTTATATTATGTTCATAGATACAAACTCAATGTAGTTGCAGCAATCCTGAATTCTTCCATGAGATCTTGGTACTGGTCCTATTGTGTGGTATGTGGCACGTTATGGTACACTCATGTAAATTGTGTCTCAGGAAAAAGGGAAGAAAAAATCTGTTTCTAGATGGCTATTGAATTTAAATACAGAATATTAATCATCATTCTTTTTTCCAGCGTTATTGTCTATATCTCTCACAATTTATCATCCATAGTAAATCAGAAATTCATATATTCTGGTTGAGACAACATGGGAACATTTATGTCTAAAAGTGTAATAATACCTGAGTCAGATTTTAATGTAATCATCAACTGTATTCTTGTGATTCTGCATGCCCCAATTGGTATTCTTTAAGAGCTGCAATTTATGCATTTTGTAAAACTTGTCAGCCTTATGTGATTCATCTGGATTTCTGTACTGGTTCTGTGTGCTCTGGTAGTGAGAGTGTTTGTGGTTGGGAGTGATGTATATAGCAGTCTAGAGTTCTGAGCCTGTGTCTTGTTTCCAAAAAGGGTTCCTCTACTTCTTAACAAACCTTTCCTATGCCACTGGTTGTGAAATTGACCAAGCAGTAAGATCACTTTTAATTACATTAAAAAAATACGTTGCTGCTATCTCACCACCCCTAGGGACTGATCCCATAACTCTTGAGCTGGGGCTCCATAATTTGAAGTGTTAGCACATTCACCGTGATGTTGATTCTGCTGGTTTGGGGTACATAATTTCAGCAACTCTTACTTTTGTTGTTATAGTAAAAACAAAACAAAACAAAACAAAACAAAAAAACAACAGCAAGAAACCCTGCCCAGCCATGTGTACAAGCCAACATTTTGTTTTAATTAAGTTAAACTGTTTCTTTCTGTCTTTTTTGTCTTTATGTGTTTTTGTTGGATATGTGTGCCTACCTACCACAATGAATGCACAGAGAGATTTTAGCTAGAGGCTACACAGTGCTTAATGCCTGCAAGACAGAAATGGTGTTGGTAAAAATGGGGGCAGGAGAATACTTACTTAGTTCCTATGTATCATTAGGGTACATCATAGTTAGTTCATCCCCCTATCAGCAAACTACTCTTGGGGGCCATTTCTACTGCAAGAACTCTGAGCATTCTGCTTAGGCTTCTTCTTCCCATTGGCCAGATGATTCTTCAGTTGAGACTTTGTACTCCATCAATTGTAAGAAATAAACTTGTCCTCTCTTACGTTTCATAATTGTATCTTTTATTGGAATAAAAATAATTTTCACTGAGTGAATCCAAAATGCTTTTAACAGTGCATTTTGAAGTCTGGGATGTGTGGGTGGCTGATTTCAAATGAACAAATATAAATCATTCTCTTCTATCAAATAATTTCCTAGAGGAAGAAAGAAACAATCCTAATAATTTTAATAGTACTGGGTATAAAGAAAATATGAGTAATATTTAGCATTTTGAAAACTATTTTTGAAGTGTTAAATTTGAATAAATTTTTGATTTCCTTTTCTCAAATGTCATGGGAGATACTGGAAGCTGTATATGTAGATTTGTTTAGACTATGTTAAAGTTATTGTTCTATGATGATTTTTGAAGATTTCTCTCTGATAGATGAAATACAGCGTGTTATACTTAGGACTGATGTCTCTATCTCTCTGCCACTACTCCACTGATTATTCAGAGTCTTTAGAGAAAATAGCTCATTGCAATGGATGATTACATGCCTCAATTGAATGGTAGCTCATTGCCAGTTATCATTACAATGCCACGTTGATTTCTTCTTTCCATTATGAAAATTAAAGCCACATTAGTTTAAAATGAGCTTCCATATATATTGCGGATGACTGGTTCTGAATCTCAGCTATTTTAAATTATACCTTCTTCAGTAATCTGATTGCTCTCCCTGGTAATCTGGTAGAAATATAGATTCTTAACCATGCTGATATATGCCTCTTAGATGAGAGATAGACAGGCAGTATCATAAGTTACTTTTTGATTACTGTGATAATATACCATGATGAAGGCAACTTATGGAAGAACAAGGTTACTTGGGGGGCTTACATTTTCAGAGGGTTAGAATCCATACCCACCATGCCAGGGATAAAGGTGACAGTCTGACAGTCATGGTGCTGGAGCAGTAGCTGGGAGCTTACAACTTGGTCTAGAACATTAATCAGAGAGAGGTAACTGGGAATGCCATGATCTTTTGAGACCCCAAAGCCTATCCCACTGTGACAGCCCTCATCCAACACGCCACATCTCCTCATTCTTCTCAAACAGTTCTGCCAATTAAGGACCAAAGTATTCAAATATATGAGCCTATGAGGGTATTCTCATTAACCTCCAGAGAAAATTTAGACTATGAAATGTAAATATACACATAGTTTCAATATATGGAGTATCTCGGTAGTACATATACTGCAATGGTACAGTGTTTGTCTAGCATGTATGAAGCCTGGTATGTTCTCTCCAGTGTTGTAAAATTTGTGTATATATGTAGTTAGTAGCAATTTTAATGGCTATTTCATAAGCATCTGTGTATATATTTTGTTTTGTGAAATCCTTGGGCAATATCAGATTGCCTATCTGTGGTTACTTAAGATACTAAACTAAAATTAATATTTATTGATTACAAATATGTCATATAGCGTATGTAAGCTACTCTAATGGGGGCAATGATGATAGAGAAATGACTAAGTAAAGACACTCTCTTTAGGGAATTTATAATTTAAATGAATCTGTAATGTATGTGACAAAAACCATGTCATACATCAATAGAAAACATTATATGTAGGTGTTTTAAAGAAGAACCCATATTTGGTTGACGATTTCCAAGGGCTGGAGAGATAGTTAATGATTTAAAATGTTTGTTTGATGCTTGGAGGCTTTGACATATAATATTGTGGTTTCCTTCCTTGAAGATAGGATAAATAAGCTAACAAAGAGGTTCAGAGAGAACTCCAGTAATGATCATTTGTCTGATTATTTGGCCAATGTGGTATAAATTCTCAGTCTGGAAAGGTAGATCGAGACTTGATGAAACTGTTAGGCTGAGTAGATATTGAGGTAATCCAAGTGCATTTTAGGACTGAGGAATATGACTAAATGTTATCAGTCAGATATTTTAAATGTAAAATGAACAAAAGCAAAAAACAAAACAAAACAAAACAAAACATCTTAAAAAAACGAAGCTACACAGAACCCCATTGGTTTCTTCAGCCATAAGATAAAGTTAACCAGGAGTAAATTAGGTTTTAATGTAAACAATGAAAAGGACATAGGGGCATTTAGAGGAAGCCTTATAGAAGAAGAAGAAGAAGAAGAAGAAGAAGAAGAAGAAGAAGAAGGTATTCATGATTGGATAAGCAATGAGCTAGTATTCTAACACAACTGGGATTTAATCTTGTGCTATTTTCCCAGTCCCACTAATCCATTTCTTCCTACGGATGTTGTGGAATATTCAAAACATAGTATTTAAAATCTCTAGAATCTGATAATCTTTGTACTCATATAATCCTATTTATCTTCAGTTTTCCTTTTAGGTAGAATCTTTCAAAGATCTTTCCCAGGCTACATATTAAATAAAAGCATCCTGGCATTTTACTTGTTTAGCTAAGTTTATTTTACTTCATTGCAATAAAGCACTGATGTTTATATAATTGGTTAATTATTTATTATCTCTTTATTTGTAGGTAGTAGACTCTAGGAGGATAAGGGCTTAGTTATGTTGCTCATTATATCTGTATTACATACATACTTGGTACCTTGTAAATGCTCAACGGCTGTTTATGAAATGAGCAGAATAAATGAAAAGGTGAAGGACAATGGCAGGTCAAACAATTTAGCCAGTATTTCAGGTTTGAGGGAATCAAAGGGCAATGGTGTTACTGAGAGAATACTGTAGAGTGGAGGAAGAGTTGATTTGAGGGAGTAGAAATAATGGAAGATGAATTTACCTCATAAATTGTGGCTTAAATATGTGAAGCTGTACTATCTAAAATTGTGCAATATAGGGGTAAGGAAACTATGAAGAGAGGTCTGAGTTTCAGATGATGATATCAGGGTTATTCTCAGCATCAAGCCTTTTATCAGATGATAAAGATAATAATAATAAGGCAGGATTATCATATTTGAAAAGAAATTTTCATTTTAATATCTTACTGTTAAACCTGTGAAGTTACTTATATATTCTTTTCCACTCATAGCTGGGTTAACAACTTTGGCCATGAAGGACTTGGACTCTTACTGGATGCTCTGGAAAAGCTTCTAGACAAAAAACAGTAAGAATGAAGTTTTAAAAAACTTTCACAAAAAAACTTTTCACACATGGGAAAAATTTACGTACAATGTAATATTTTTTTCTTTTTTCTTACTGACTTAGGCAAGAAAATATTGACAAGAAGAATCAATACAAACTCATTCAGTGCCTGAAAGCGTTTATGAATAATAAGGTAAATGGTGTTTACTTATCCCTCTGTTACAAAAGGAGAGAGCTTGCTCGACAGTATGGAAGTAAGAAAGAGATAAAACAGTGGGTACTATTCAAGTTTTAATAATATGTTTATGGTGTAGATCATCATGAGTTTCCTATAAGTGGTTTCAAAGGTGTATTTTGCTTCCCGCAATATTTACTGCCATATTTTGCATTTATGACAAGAATATTAGTTTAGCTTTCAAATTTGTTGACACATATTTCCTTTTGTGATATAATGAAGTCTCATTTTTTAAGCTTTATTTATTTATGCATGTTGCTAGATGAGTTGATGTGCAGGACATGCCTACAGGTGCCCATTCAGGATAGAAGGAATCAGATCCCCTAGTACTCCAGCTACAGGCTTGAGCTGCCTAATGTGGGTGCTGAGAATCGAATCTGGATTCTCTATAGGATTAGGTACTCTCAACTACTGAAGCATCTCTTAAACCCTAGCAGTATGTAAATTTACATTTCATAAATTGAATATCATTTCCATACAAAGAAAGAAGTTGTATTTTATTTAAAAGGAAAATTCAAGGGTAGGAATAGGGTTCAAATAGTTTGATAAGGGTGTCATTTCAGTTTCAGTGATTTAACATGTGTAAAAGAAATCTGTGGGAGATAGCTTGCATTTTTGTATACATACAATACTATTTTTAATATATAATATTGTGGAGTCTTACAGATTAAATAACTGACTAATATGCTTAATCACATTAATTACATTTAGTTGATATTTTAATAAAAACAATTACTTAATAGAAATAAATAATTATAGCAATAACCAGGAACTTGCTAAATGTGAGTGATAGCTATTAATAATCAATGCAGTAATACTGTATATTTACATAATATACAAACACGTTCTTTGGTATATGCAATTATATATCACTTTCTGTATCATATGCCCATATTACTCAGCAAATGGTATTATTGGTACATGCAGTACATGGTTGCTAATGAACTCTTTCATCACATATACTTTTACTGCTATTTCTATAAGTTTATTATCATTTTACATTTAATTATGGATATGCATAATGCACCAATACATACATGTGAAGTCCAAAGTACAAATTGAGGGTTTCACCTCTCTCCTTCTACCATGTGGGTCCCAGGGATCCAACTTTAATTTTCAGACGTTTTATCAAGTACCTTTATCCCAGGAGCTACCTTGCTTACCCATCTGTATGTTTCTTGTAGAAACACTCCTATCAGTACTGGTCGAGAACTTCTCTTCTTCTGTGCTTTTCACCTTTAGATACAACACGTCATGGCATCCAATGACTAATAACAATACGCTTAATTGAACATTGCTTTCTCCAGAGCTCAAGAAGCATCTCTTTCTGCAACTGAAAAAAGTTGTAACATTACAAAAAGAGAGGGCAGTACTGGAGATCAGAGATGCACATCACATTTCCAGTCCTAAGCAGACGGGGCCTTTGAAAAATGACATAGCCCCTGGCCAATCAGTCTCCTCCTCTGTAAATTCAGCAATGGGAGCTTTTGTGCTACATTTTTATTGATTCATGTTGTCAACTAACATAGTTTTGTAGGATAACAACTAATTATAATTAGAATACTGACTAAAGTATGTTATATTAGTTTGTAGGACTTCCTTTATAGCCCTATTCCCATAGGAGATACTCAGATATGGCAAGACTCACTTTCTTTTTCTTATGTGTTTTTGGCAGTTTTGAAGAACATGATGATTTCATTTAAGTTATTCGAAACGAAATTGGAGTTTTTGTGAAGCTATTTTTATGATTTAGATATATATCCTTGTCACATGAATAAACAAGTCCTTTAAATGATAGTCATATGAAACAATGCATAAAACAGACATTCTGAATAGAAAGCACACAGTGATATATTCACTTTAAGTTGGAATACATTTTCCAAATCGAGGAGGGTAAATTTCATCTGAAATGACATAAATGACACTTGACGTTGAGGTTAGTTATGTCAGAAACTCATAAACATTTGCATGTTGCCTTATGTGTTAAAGCCCACAGTAAAGTCTTATTTAAAAAGTTTAGCCTGCTCCTCTTTTCTCTTAGAATTTAATTAAGAACCTTCATGCTGTTCCTATGTTTGGTACTTTGCCAAATGTTATCATATAATGTTTCCCAATGAAATGTAATGTTGCCATGGAACTAACTTGAAATGAAGCAATTTTTTTCAGATTCTTAACTGCTTATAGTATAGCATATTGATTATAAGTACTGAATAAATGGACAATTTTAAGAAAACATATGCACTCACATTACAAACCAAGTACAGATAAACTACATCATTAAAAACTATGATAGTATGATACACAGCATGTTCACATGGATGAGGAATTTGTGGGTGTTTCTGGGTGAAACATGAAAAAAGCAATTAAGAATTTTAATTAAAATATCAATAAAGATGTCACAAATTTTATATAAAATCTAATTCATTTTATATACATTTCCCAAGAACAATATTAGAATTATGTTTTACTACAAGAAAAATATAAATGAATTTTACACCCACAGCTAAACACCGAACTGAACTGGAATCCAGTTGCAGAGGAGTGATGAGCAAAGGGATCAAGACCAGGCTGGTGTAACCCACAGAAACAGCTGACCTAAACAAGGGGGAGCTCTTGGTCCCCAGACTGATAGCTGGGAAACCAGCATGGGACTGATCCAGACCCCATGAACACAGGTGTCAGTGGAGATCACAGAAATCTATGGGGTTGTTGTAGTAGATCAGTACTTATCCCTAGCATAGGAATAGACTTTGGGAGTCCATCCCACATGGAGGGATACTCCCTGAGCCTAGACTCATTGGGGTGGACCTAGGCCCTATCCCAAAGGACATGATAGACTCTGAAAACCCCCTATGGAAGGCCTAAACCTCCCTGCAGAGCAGAAGGGGTATGGGATAGGCAATGTGTTCGTTTGGGGGGAGGCAGAGGGAACTGGGATTGACATGTAAAATAATCTTGTTTCTAATTTAAATAAAAAAGGGAGAGAAAAAAGAAGCAAACTTTTACTGAGAAAACAGAAATATACTTTGTGAGACAAAGGTGAAAATAGTAGCATCTTACCATTAATTTTGGATTTGAAAACCTACCTATTGGCATTTGTATGGCATGTGCTTATACACTTAGGTTTATGCCTAGAAAATGAGTGAGACTAATATTTTCTTTGCCTGTCTGACTGGGGTATGTCTCTGAGTCTATAATATGTGTTGCTAGCTAAGAGATATGATATAAAAGGACAAGGAAATCGGGGAAAACCCATATCATATTTTTAGTACTTTATCGACTATATACTATACTTGAAGCACTTAAGCATTTTTCCCTCCCGTGTTTACTTTAAATTTCAGTGCAAATATATTGGAAAAAATTAACCACAAATTCTAGACATTCCCAAGGATATCAAGACATTAAAAGTAGCTTTAGAAAATATAGGCAGTGTATGTTCTATATGTTCTTGCTTGTTAGACAAATACCAGTTGTTCCCACATTTCTCCTATATATTTTCAAAAATGTAATTGAGGAATATTGGAAATCATTTTTATTCATGCCCTCAAATTTCTAAGATGTAGCCATTTCAAATAAAATAAAACAATGAATGATTGCATTTGAGGAAAATCCAAATCATTAGATACCTAAGGGCACTGTGAAGGTATTTTTTTTGAAACATTTCTTTATTTTGGGTTTATTTGGAATGAAAAATATGTTCCATAGACATTCCCATTGTGTTTGTTTTTAGTTTGGACTGCAAAGGATTCTAGGAGATGAGAGGAGCCTTTTATTGTTGGCAAGAGCAATTGACCCCAAACAGCCCAACATGATGACTGAAATAGTAAAAATACTGTCTGCTATTTGCATTGTTGCGGAAGACAACATGTAAGTATCGACAGGTTCTGTTTATTGTGTTGCAAAATGACATGGCAGAAATTAATGGTTCTTCTTTTTGATAACTTGCAGAAACACAGTAGTTCTTAGAATATTTTTGGTTGATATCCTTATTTTGTTTGTATTTTACCTTTTTGGATATTATATAATCTGAATTTGTTAAAGATGAATTTAAAATATTCATTTATTCAACTGGAATTTTGTCTCACTGAAGATAACATCAGTTAAGTGGAAATGGATTAAGTTGAAAACGTTTTGAGAACACATAGGAAACACACACACACACACACACACACACACACACACACACACACGCGTGCACATATGCACATGTGTGTTCAGGCATCTTTAATTGAAACAGGTATATCCTTTGTACTATTGTATCCTTGTATTTTACTTTATCTTATATGGTAACTTAACATTAAATGAACTTATCCAATAAAAAGAAAACATAGTGTAAGTTTGTAGGTAAATGTTTGGAACACAAACAAAAACAGCTCATAAAACATTAGCATATGATAGTAATATGTATATTAATTAGCTCCAGTTAGCTGTTCCATAGCAGGAATATTTTTAAAAACATTGTATTATATACTAAAAATATTTGAAGGTTTTGTCTATTAAAAGTATTGTGATGTGAAACATTTAATGGTCTATATAAACATCAAACACTAAGAATAAAATAGAGAATGAGCTATGTTCATCATATGAAATATTCCTCATTTCCTTTTTCTCTTGTTTTGTCTGTAGTCTAGACAAACTTTTAGGGGCCATCAGTGCTGCAGCTGAAAGAAATAACAGAGAACGATTTTCACCAATTGTGGAAGGATTGGAAAATCATGAAGCCTTACAACTCCAGGTGGGGTTGTTTTATCATAAATCACTTGAAGAGTTATATTTCGAGGACCTGTATTATACCAATTCATTTTTAGCTGGCATTTATGGGATGGAATGTAAAAGTACAATTATTTGTGTTACTCATAGTTTTGTTCATTTAAAGTCATTTAAAATTAAGAAAATTGCTTTTTTATTGTCACTAATACGGCATATGTTATTATAATTGTCGGGAAGTTGAAGCTTTAGCAGTAATATGGGCCAAAGGACATACAGTTAGGTCTGTAGTATTTGACCAATTAATAAAGCTATAGGCTTTTGTAGAAATGTAAGAAAATAGTTAGGTATGGTGTCATAGTATGGTACTCTTTAGCAGTTTGAAGTCTGAGTCAGGAGGGTTACAAGGTTCTGACTTGCCTGGGTTTCAATCAACCAAAAAAACAATTTAAAGAAAGAGAATTCAGTATACTTCTCTTTGTGCCTTTCAGACAATCAGAAATCAGACTCACTAATGCAGAGGGACTGAATTGTATCCCGTGTCAGGCACCCTGTGAAAACTCTGTAGACCCAGTCTAAACATGCTTAGTTCTAAAACTGAAAAAATCTTTTGTTTTTCATGATTTCAGGAAATGTCTTACTTTATGAAAGGATACATTGTTCTTGAGGGATGAGAAGTCATGTTTATTGCCTGTATTTACAGATAAGAGCTGCTGAATGGCACATTTTATTTTGTGAATATAATTTGGTATAATTCTTGTAATGAATCAGCTCCCTAAGTATTATCCATTTATCATGTGGATAGGTAGAATGAGATTGCATCACTTGTATAAGTGGACATGGTGTGGAAGAACCAGAATTTGATGTCAACATGCTCTTTGTTTTAGATAGTGTATATACCATTTGATGCTCCACGAAGTATCTTTTAAAAAGTTATATCATCACTCAAAGAGATTTTGCTACTATGTTTATTTTTTCAAGTTATTTTTGTGAGTATACATATGGAAATATTCTACTTGATGTGAAACAAACAATCGATTTTTTTTTTTTATTGTTTTATGAAGTATTGGCATCTTTTCTGTCACAGCTGGAAACTGTGTTCGGCAGCTGAATTGGCCACTCCAAGGAGAATCTGTAGTACTGTGAAACTGTACATAATGTTTCTTTAGAAATGTAAAAATATCTTTGAAAATTGTTCTACTTCAACGATGATGAGTATATTGATAAACTTCTGTTGTATTCTCTTTTGCATTGGTGTTTTTAAAATTGAGAATGTCCCCTTAGTGTTTTCCTATCTGTGACACAGTTTTCCATATTATTAGTTTTAGTTTCACTAAAATTTCATACTTTCTAGGGAAAGCCTGAGATATGCATTTTCAGATGTCTTCTCCAGTGTTTTGTCCGTGTTGCTGTGTTGGCTGTGCTTGCTTGCCTAGATGGCTTTCACTGCCAGACATACATATACGCCTGTATGTTATTTTCAAAATTTAGCATGACTCAAGCTTGTTATTTAGATTCAAAGTTTTCATTGCATTTGCAACGGTTTGCCATATGTGGCACAAATAGATTTGAATAGTTAAAAATATTTAAATGAAATTTCAGCCACAATTCTGTGTTATATATTACCTTAAGTTTACTGATCAGGGAACTGAGTTGCACGAAGGCTTCATGATTAGTTCTCTAAGAATCACAAAGCTGTTAAGGTTTAGAATGGTGGTTTGAACTTAAATTTTTGATATATACATCCCAAATTATATTGTATGTCCATTATAGTAACACCTCCATAAAAAAGCGATGTTTTCATTGTAGAGTAGTTTGCCCCAGTCAGTGAAACTTTACTGACATTCTGTGGCTTTCATGGTGCTGTACAGAATAGAATGATTAAGTCGCAACTGTTTAACAAGTACCATATGGAGAAATTGCAGACATCTTGCTAAATATTCAAGAAATTGTTGAATACTGATTATGGATGCAAACATATGCAAACTACAATTTGAAATTTCCTAATTTAATGAGCTACAACGTTTAGTAATTTATTATATACAGAGCCTAGTACTCTCCCAAGAATTGTGAAGTGGGTTTATTAGGCATATTTAATGTGAATGAGAAAATATTCTGTAAAAGTTCTAAAATGTGTTCAGAATACTGAAATTAAAAACAAAAGCTGAGCTCTGTTGTTTAAAAAATGTAATTTGTGTTTTTTTTTTTTTTTTGCAGAATTACTTTTCAATTTTGGTAGTGTCCTGAGATCTCTTATTAGAATATCATGAAGTAATTCTTTTAAAATACTGAACTAATTATATTTTAAAGCAACAGTTTCTTACAGATGTTTTCTAGCTCAGCTATGATAGGATTTTCATTACTTTCAGTAGTTTCAGGAACAGATCAGGGATAAATTACATCAACATATGTACTCTCTTCATTGCCTTACGTTCAGCTTAGTTGCACTATTCAGTCTGCCATGCTGTGTCACCTGCAGTTTTACACTTGCTAGCCTCTCATCTGCCTTTTTACCTTGTAGCACTTGTCTCTCAGAGAACAATCTATACTTCTTTCCTCTATTTTCTAAATTATCTTTCACAACTTATCTTTGTCACTGTCTTAAAAAGAAATCTTTAATGGTCTCATAATTTCAAAACCAATGATTTCTTCCCAATGGTGGCTTTGTCCACTGACCATTTGACAATTTTACTTCTCTTGCTTCTCTGGGCACCACTCTTTTTGGGTGGTGTCTGAATACCCATTTATTCTGTTTCTAATGCATTTTTGCTCTTCTTCACAAGAATATTTCCACTATTTTTTAATCACTACTTTCTACCAATAATCATTTTATATGCACCTACTTATATGTTGTTATGTGTATATGTGCCAACATGTGTATGTGCTCATAAATATTCATGTATATTCATGTTTTTTATCAGACTCCCACAAGTAACAAATTAAAAATATCACTTGTGAGTGCTATTCCACAATAACATTGCAATTTACATATGTAATCTCATTTAAATTACACAGCAAATCTGAGAATTATAGAAGTATCTCATGAGGTGATATTTGAGTTGGCTTTCAAAGATAAGAATTTCAATGATATTATGTTTTCTAATAAAGAAGCCATAATAAATTTGAATGGTGCAAGAAGGGCTTATAGTGCGTGAAAATGGAGACCTCCATAGTCTTTGTAATTTTAGAAATGAAAGCAGAAGACCATACAGACATCCGCTTGAACTTTATTTCTGTGTAGCAAGACAGGAAATTTCAAAGTAAGCTAACCATTAGTAGTCTTTTATAGGTAGAGAAGGTAACATTAACATCCAGTGAATGCATGTTAAACTCATCCATTTTCTCAGGCTACAGTTAGGCAGAAATCTTTCATGTGTTTGCAGAATTTCAGAAGTTGTGGAGACAAATGTGGTAGCATGGTATGGTAGACATTAAACTGCTTTCTAGTATATCAGAATAATGGAGAAAGTCTTCTGGTATAATAATTGAATATAGTACACAAAAGCATTTCACACAATGTATTGTTCATAATGTGTGATAGCTTCTCTCAGGTATACTACATTTACATTGTATAGGCATCCTCTTGGCATATAAATTAGAACCAATAATGAAATGAAGGTAAAAATCAAACATTGATCCTTCATTGAAATCATCAAGTCTATCAAACCGGTTTCATGAAAAGAAAGACCTGGCAGCCTTTAATCAGAACCTAAGTTTGTTTTCTTGCATTATCATATTGAGACTGAGCATCTGATTTCTGTTCATGGCAGACTAAGGGCACAAGTTGGAAGATGTGCAGGAAGGGAGAGCTAAGTAGATGTTTAGTAAACTTCTGAAACTAAGGTAACTGCCAATGAGCTGAGTTCCAAGTTTATACTACTTCCGTATGCATGTATATTTGTGTGTGTGCATATGTATGTATGTATGTATGTATGTATGTATGTATGTATACACGTACATATACACGTACATATACGCATACACATACACATGCACACATACATACATACATACATACATACATACATACATATATACATACATAGTAGTGTACCATTGTGTAGACAAATTTGGACAATAGTGTTACCTTTTCATTGTAACAAGAAAAATTCTGACTTCAAGTATACCTTCACTTTTAAATCTGTTTCAAAGATGATGAATAATTGTGTATATTATTACAGTAGTAGGTAAGAGTGATTCTAAGCGTTTGAAAAGGAGCAGACTACTTTCAAAGCTATCACATTGTCTTTCTAGCACTATTTGGCATTATTGAGCAGGACTACACATACTTAACTTGTGCCCGTCCTTTTCGGCTCCTCTGTGCTTTCGCAATGCTTCTTTTCTGTGCTCATCTCCTTCTTCTTCTGCCAGTATCTGCCATTTCATTTTCATGTCAAAAATATTCACGAACCTCCCTCTTAGGATAACTTTTTCCAAACCTCTCATGGATCCCTTTCTGATTTTAGGATCTATGACCCCATATACACCTGTGAAAATTCAAACCAAAGGTTTGTGCATACGAGACAAAGTTGTATCTTGGGACCTTTGGTTCTTCATTTTTCTCATTTTGATGATTTGCCCACTGTCTTATCCATCTTTCTGAGTTCAGCGAGATACATGTTTGCCTATGCTCTTTGCATCCCAGTCCATTCTCCCTTTCAAACATAGAATGTTCAAGTTCTGCATTACATTTAACTATGTTCATCTTCAAGTTATACATCCTGAACCTCTCTAATGTCTTTTCTCACCACGACCTACCATTTTCTTATATTCCTTCCTTCCTGATCATTATGCAAGAATTAACATACACCAAAAATGTAATAGTTGGCTTCAAATCCACCTGTAATATATATATATAGTACTATATGTCTTGCATTCCTTCAGACAGTACATACTGGATTGTATGTTAATTTTGTACTTCTTTCAAGGCACAGTATCTCTCTAATCGCTATGCTGCTGCCAGTAGTTATTTTTTCTTTTAAATTTCAGGGAATTCTCTTTATTTTAGTCTTTGTGCTGACTTCTTTTTATTAAATCTTCTACCCTTCATTCTAACCCTTTAAATACTCTCCGGCAAAGTCACTCTTCTGACATGCCATTTTGGCACATCACTACTTACAATTCTTCAAAGGCTTTTTATGACTTCTAGGATTAAAATCTAGTCTTTGTGTCCCTCCTTCCCAAACGAATAGATAAAAGCACGTCACCACCTGCTTACAGATTTCTAATTGTGTGTTTCACTAGTCTTCTGTATACACTTTTTGATGGAGTCATACTACGCTCTCCTTCATGAACATTTTGTGCAATTTCCTCTCTCTACTTCTAATCCTTTGTACATAAATCCTTCTTTTGTCTAGACATTCTTCTCCATTTCTTGACTTAATTAACTTGCACTGTACATTTGAATAGTTCTTAGTAAGTACTTATTTTGACTTAAACAATCTTTTTCCCCCAACTCCTGCTGTGGCTAGGATAAAGAAAGACCTTGTTAATGTCAGCAGAGCACTTAATAAGGTCAAATGTGTGACAGTGTCAATAAAATTTTAAAAGCAATATTTGTCACAGCTAATGGCAATATGGATAATCTGTCTGAGAATGCCCTAGAGTTGGCAATTACTGTACTCCATAACTCTAAGAATTGTGATCAAACAGGCAGACAATTTTTTGCACTTTCTGAAACTTGTTAGTTGAAATAAAAGCTTCTCTTATTTTCGTAGTTATTTTGTGAAGACATTCCTGTATATTTTAATTTTATTCATGTATTTTATATGCACTTATAAGAGCATGTATACATATCTAGTACATGGGATGTTTATTAAATGCATATGAATAAAATACAGATAACATCAAATTTTCCTATGTTAAAAACAATTTAATAAGAACAGGCACTGTTGTACTTACTTGTTTAGCATAAGAATTATGGTCCTACCAGTGCATATTTTTATTCAATGAGCAAAATTTACTGACTTCCTGTGATATTTTTAAACACTATTTTTTCATTGACTCTATATTAGAAGCACAAATAAAAAATGGAAAAACCACATTGAAAGTTAAAGCCCTTAAAAAAATTCTTAAAAACAGAAGAATCTGGTTATTGGAATTTGTGCTATTCAATTCAAGTACATTTGTATTCTTTCTGGTAAGAGGTTGAAGTTAAATTGTATTCAGCAATGCTAGATTGGCACATTGTAATGTGTAGAAGACTGCAGTACTACAATAAGTGGTGCTAGTTTCCTCTTTTTGGCTTATTAGCGTTTTCAGTTGAGGGAGATCACTTCATGTTTGTAACCCACATATGAAACAATATTAGGTTGTTTACTTCTTTTCTTTGGAGAGGGATTATTTTAAAATCAGTTTGATTTTGCTCTCTAAGAGGACAATAGAGTTCAGTCACATGTTTAAAGATTTATATCCTTGGGTGCTGAGCATCAAAGTTTTGGTATTTGGGAATGAGGTTTGTAGTCATTTCAGTCTGAGCTCTAACAGGCCAGAACCCCATCTTCCTTAATGTTCCCCATGGAGTTCTGTTCTGTCAAATTTTCTGCAGTATTTTTTATTCATATTGTCCAATGTGGGACCTATAAATCACATGTATTTTTCATGCCATTGGACTATAGCTAGTCAAGTCAAGTTCTTGATTTAGTTCCTATTGAAGTTAATCTGTGGTTAAAAGAGCCTGGTTTGAATAGTAGAGTTCTGTAATATACATGTACTTGTATTTGAATGCACATTCTCATGTAATATGGAACTCCTTGGGGGAGAGCAAAAGGGAAAGAGGAGACATTAATTTGACTATGGGATGCTCTCAATATGATACTTTATGAGATGTATATGGAATGACATGTACTCCAAACCAAGGATCAGTTCGTCCTTACCTATTTTTATTTGTGTTTCATTATGTATTTGGTAACTCCTTTATATATTTGGTAACTTCTTGTTCTAGACAACATATTGTTACATTATTTCCATGCTTTTATAATTATGGATAGCTGTAATGTAGATGTTCTAATTCACCAAACATGATGCTACAGATACGTTTTGTCACCTTATACAACCTTAAAATTTTTCTTGTATTAATCTTTGTGTGGAGTTTCTAAGATATCTGAAACATTCTGGAATTGTTTTCTACTTGACATAAAATAGTGTAACTTAGAAATATAATTTTCTTTTGCTATTTGACCTTGCATAAGTCATTTATCTTCTGTAAGCTTCAACTTTTCCATGTGTGAAAGAAATATAGTTGTAATTTACATCTCATTGTTTTCTATGAGAGTGACTTTAGATAGTACATTATATTAAGCACCTAATACATTGTCTAAAAATTTATAAAAATTATACAATAGAGATAAGAGTGTAGATTTTTGCATTCAGCTATTTGTATTTTGTATATTGGATCCACACAATGATATTTCATAATAAATTGTTGTGCTTCTTGAAATATTATTTAAATTTTCATGTAAGATATTTTGATAATTTTAGTTTTTAATTCCTAAGTTATTGTTCTCTGAAAGAATAACTGTAGCATAGATGAGGACAAATAACAGTTTTTTTCTTACCTTACTAGTAAGTGTGTGTTTAAATGTAATTCCCTAGGAGTTTTAATATTGCAGTTGGCATGTTATTAATGAGAGATCTTGTAGAATTTGGTGAGCCATAATTGGCATTTTGTTACCTATTCTTTTTTGACTACTGTCTTTCAGTCATATCCTACTTATTTTATATGGTAGACTCTATGTTCACCTTTTTTTAAAATATCCAGCCATGTTTGTATACATTATCTGTAAAGTACTTCATAGCAGTGATATCTTTATAATGATATATGATATCATGTTGCTGTAGTTAGTAATTTTAATTTTTACTATTTTATTTCATTAGTACAATACTTCTATTTCTATAAAGATATTGTTACAAGATTTACTAACCTATTTCTTATGAGAATATAGTCTTTATTTGTAAGGTATTAAAATATACATTATTAAGCTAGAATTCCTTCTGGCAAAAAGAATACTAGCATATGTAAACATTTCTATTAATTTTCAATTGGGCTTTGTCTTGTTAAGTCATGTCATAATTGTTACTTAACAAGACTCATTCAAGAAAATAATATAGCACTGCATACAATATATAAACACATATACTAGCCTATTGAGACTCTATAAAGATTTATTCAGGTTCTTATTGTATAAAGGAGGGGCCTGTAATCAATTAGAATGAAAATGCCTAACAACACATCCAGTATTAGTTTTAAGGTGATGCAAAGTTTTTTGATACACATTTAGTTGTCCAAATGTTTATTCTAGGAATACCTGAGCATTCCTATGAATTGGAATGCAGTGTTCAATTACTTTTTCTCTATGTGGTAACTTTGTTAACAAGCTCAGCTTTCTATTTTAAATGAACAAACAAAAAAAAAACATTTGAATTTGGTATATTACATTTGAACAATAAGCTGAGTGTATAACATTTTGATACAAACTTAATGCAATATATGTTTTAATGTTTTCTCATTGTTTTGAAAAATGATATGTAATGCAAGGTGTGTTGAAGTCAACATATGCAATATTTCTATCAAAGTTTGTTTTCAACATTTTTGGTTTATTCATCTTTCTATATATGCTTATAATTTTTGTAAAATTTAGTATTTTCCTTGAGTTTCCTTGTACTCTACTCTTCTGCTCATATAAACAACCAGCTACACCAGGACATGGCAGCACCCCAGTTCTCGAGCAGGAAGCAGTCTTGAGAACTCTATGCCCATGTTCCCTAACCTCCCATGCTTAACTCCCCACCTTTTTAATAATAAGTAAAGGTGGAAATGAAAGGTTCAGGCAGATACCTAGGCAGCTCGAAGTGCCCTTTGTTGCGTTGCCACGTCATGGCTACATCACACATTACAGGACTGTGTAGGGAGGGAGTCTGCACATGCGCACGCTTCCCATTTTGAGCCTGCACCCTTATCCCTCCTCTCTCTCTCTGTTTCCAGTGTTCAAATGCTAATTATTCTCTGTTCTGCTATGCTCTTGCCTTCCTCTCTCTCTTTGCTCTCTCACTCGTTCTGTCTCTCTTACTGCCTCCCCACCCCCACGCTCTTGCTCTCCCACCCTGTAATAAACTGGTTCATGTACTCTCTATTGTTTGGTTTCCATCTAGTGGTTTCTTTTCTAATTTTTAAACTCTTACAGAAGAACACCACTTACATCAGTTTAACGTACTTCCATGGAAAGAATACAAGCTAATACAGTGATATCTCAAAGTTATCTAATATAGCTTCACAAAATTTTTGATTTATACTGGAATTTTTTTTAATTGTTTTCCCGAGACAGGGTTTCTCTGTGTAGCTTTGTAGACCAGGCTGGCCTCAAACTCGCAGAGATGTGCCTGCCTCTGCCTCCCAAGAGGGGTTGAGGGAGTGAGCCACCACCGCCCAGCTGGAAATGTTTTTATAGCTATGTAGAAATTAGTTCCCTTACTATCTGTGGAAACCAGATACAAGAATTCATTTCATGATCTTTTCATAGGGTTCAGTGTGTATTATTTGGGAACCTGAAGTTTCTTTGGGAAAGTTAATATCCTTTCATATAGTTTAGCAAAGCAAACACACTTAACTTTCATATTGTTAAAATTATGTTGGATATCATAATCTTGATTGCTAATGTTGCTTATAATACGAAGTCTTATCAATATACTTACAGAAATACTTGCATTCCATATGCCTTTAGTGAATCTGTTACCTGCATGTATTAGCTAAGTATTTCTTTACTGTACCTAAATATATAAATGGCATTTACTTTCTCTTTTTAGGTGGCATGCATGCAGTTCATAAATGCACTTGTCACTTCTCCATATGATCTTGATTTTCGAATTCATTTGAGGAATGAATTCCTCCGTTCTGGACTAAAAGAAATGCTCCCAGTAAGTTCAATGTTTCTATTTATTGTACTACTGAACTTTTAACTTGTTTTCCCTTTCAAGTAAAGGTACTTTTTTTTCAAGGAAAGCACAAATTTGTCCTTTGTTATTGCTTCAAAAAAACCTGCACTTTGTTAATAATTTCACTATACAATGGATGATTCATCAGTCAGCTAATAATAGGATGTATATAAATATGAATTATATATACATATATATTTGCAAATTTGCTTTCCTCTTTGATACTTTTGATTGATTTTATTTATAGTCAGCATAAGTATGCATATTGAGGCTTGACTAGTATATTTGGGATATTTTGCTTAAATATGGTATTCTTATTAGGCTGCTTCAGATCTTTTCAAAAGAGAAATAGTTTTAATTCTTTATGAAGTCCATAGTAGGAATTAGAATCCTTTGACTATATGCCTAAGTGTGATATAACTGTGTTATATCTGTCATATTCCTTTTTTACTGTGTAAAGTTTGTTTAAGTTGTCAAACATTTATTTTATTGAAAATGTATGGATATATCTTTCAGAGTTTGATATTTGATATGAAAACTTACCAATAGATCAGGATTCATAAATGTCACCCACACCCAGAGGGCCTACTTTGGTTCCATGTAGGTTCTCTAGGAGCTGTCAGCTCAGAGTCTATGAGCTCCTACTAGCACTGGTCTTCTGTATCCCTGGATTTCCCCATTTTGTTCTTGCCCCCCCCTTGCTCCAGGAGATCAGCCCAATGCTTGGCTGTGTGTCATTGCATCTCCTTCCATCAGTTACTGGATGTAGGTTGTATGACAATTAAGGTAGTTACCAATCTGATTAAAGAGGAAGGCTGGTTCAGACACCATCACCACTATTTCTAGGAGTCCTTAGCTGGGGTCATCCTTGTGGATTCCTGAGAATTTCTTTAGCACCAGATTTCTCCCTAACCCCATAATGGCTCCCTCTATAAAGATATCTCTTTCTTTGCTCTCCCCTTCAATCCTTCCCCCAACTTGGTATTCTTGATCCCTAATGTTCCCATAATCCATCCCCACCATTCCACCCTGCCTCCCAGTTTACCCTCCTGGGGCCTCCCATTTGTGTCCTTCTTAGGGTTCCCCTTTTTACCTAGCTTCTCTGAGGTTGTGGATTGTAATCTGGTTATCCTTGCTTTACATCTGTTGTCCACTTATAAATCTGGTACTGATAAAACAGTAGTGTTGAACACATTTTCTTTGTAAAGAGGAGAATAAGTAGAATTACTTGCTCTGAAATGTATTTTTTGATGTTCTGAATGTGTTCTGGTTGCAACTGCCTTCTGTGCTCATATGGTAATATGACCCATAAACATTACATAATTTTGTATTCTAATAAACCTCTTCTGCTTGAAAGTGGCTGGTTATATCAAAAAGTTCTTAGTTTAAAAGAAACAAAGTGGAAATAATTTTATTTGTTACATGCTTTATATGAGTGTACTTAAAATATTTAAAATGTATTTTAAATGTTTTATAGGGTTTATTTTTATATATTTAAATGTGTTAACAATTTGGTACATTCTTAAGTATGGAGATTCAAAGAAAGAACATCAAAAAGTGCTTTGTTTTGTGTTTTGCTTCCATAATTGCCATTACATCCCTATTTATCATTGTTCTTCTTGAATTAAAATAGAAACAAAAATAGAAAGAAGAAATGCATCCTGTTTTCTTTCTTTACCTAATTTGAAGTACACCTTGCTTGCATTTCCTTTCAGAGTTCAAGCTCAGCTCTGAACATCATAATCCCAGTTTTGGTATCACCCTTGAGCATCCACAGTTGTGATTATCGATTTGAGTTTTCAAAGCTGAAACTTAATGGACAAATATTAAAAGATTTTCCTGGTGATATCTATTAAGCCCAACAATCTCTAGTCTGGCATGTTTCCAAAATTTTCATATTATTATTATTTGGAAAATTATAAGAGGTTTGTAATGCATGTGCTTCTGATGTATTACAAAAACAAATCTTTGATGACCAAGTTGGTATTTTGTAATTAGGCTAAATGAAAATCAAAGTTTGGCAGGGCAGCTAGCTATATCATGAATTTAAAAAAAAAAAAACTTAGTACCTTTTAACTTTAAAATCACAAAATATCATTCATTATAAATTTGTTTACAAAATTTTTCTAGGCCGTACTTGGGACTGTTGTGCTTGAATATATCCTTGCATTGGTTTTTCATTAACACAACTGATCTTTATTGCTTCATTTTCTCGGTGCCAGAGGCACCTGTGAATGTTCTAACTGCATGGTTTCTTTTGTGATTTCTGATGAGTATGTTCCGTCAAAACGACAGCATTGAATTGGGTTGTAGCTATTAGTGGGATTTTTGTTGTTGTTGTTGTTGTTGCAGAAGTGATTGTTAATATTTTTAATGTGAATTGCAAGATTTAGAGCATGGAAAGAAAATGTAAAGAATGGTATGAGGTTCTTCCATTTTGAAATAGAAATCTTTAGCTGTATTTATTTTCTTTTAGGAAAGCAAGGTCAATATTTGAAATTGCATCTGTGTACAAATGAGTAATTTTATTCTGCCCCTGATTAGCAGGTGTGTTATTTTTAAATTGTCATTCATTTTCTGAATTTTATTGTTATATTAGGGTCTTAAAGAAAAAGAGAATGATGAGCTTGATATTCAGCTGAAAGTGTTTGAAGAGAACAAAGAAGATGATCTAACTGAATTATCCCACCGTCTCAATGACATTCGAGCTGAAATGGAATATCCTTTAACAAACAAAATAAATACCTAATTTTTACACTTAATGTTTAAAAGCAGGACTTGAGGATATTTTTTATATTTCATTAGTTTTTTTTTCTATGAACAATGTTGTAACTGCTTATTTATATTAGTGCTCCACCATGATGCTATCCTTGATACCCATTTGTGCTGACAATTGCTACTTTGCTTTGATGATGTATTCAGACTATTGAAAGCCACACAATTAATTACTCAGTGTATTAGAGATACACTCTGCTCAGTGGTCTTGAATAAACAAGAGCCTAAGAGCCTTAAGCAGTATATATTTCCAAGAATGAGAAAAAGTTCTTTGAGTTCATATGTGATACCAGTTAAGAGATATTTTGTTTTTATTAAATGCTACTCCACTTATAGATACAATTTTCTGGAAATGAGTATCTTATTTCTTATCGGGTATTTGTGTTCCTTAATGATAGCAAAATTGTTAGATACAATAGGAGCTTTCTATAAGAAAGTAGTGCTATAAAAGTACCTACATCATATATAACAGCATATAATCTTCCTGTGCCAACTGTCTGATGTGAAATTGAGACATAAGATATGATTGTCACAGTTCTGCAACTTATCTCCCTCCCATTAAAATTTATACTTTTGGATTCTATGAAGTAGGAAGACACTTGCGAACCAAAGTAACCTCTGAGCTGTGCTTTTCTACCTTTAATATTTTCTTATCTTTCTTCTTTCGGTATTCTAAACAAACTTGAACAATATTTCCCTATTTGAAACTCCCTTATTACTTTATTTGACTTATGTGTTTTTATGTACTCTTCTCCTCTCTTTACATGAAAATATTGCATAAATGTAGATACAATGTATAGAAATGTTATTATCATAGGAAATAATTAAAAATTAAAGTAATTCAAAATTAATAAAAACAGTTTTTAATCAATAAACTGCTTTATATTTAGTGATATAATCAATTATTTGATAATTTTGTAGCCATTCAATGTCCTTATGTTACTTTAACTCAGAACTCTGATGTGGTGTTTAAATTAGTGCATTGTATATTTAATTCTACTGCCCATTTCATGGTGTTTCAAGATGTTGGATTGCATCTTGTCTTTTACCTTTATTTTATGTGGACTTTCAATATACTCAGTACATATAATGTGAGTCCAATCTTGAAGTTTTTTTCTAGACTACTACCAGCATCTACACCACTAGTTTTTATATCCCAAAGAAAAAAAAATGTCCTAATGTCCATGGACTTTTCAGAAGGTCAAGTATGAACACAACAGATTTTAGACTTTTTATTTGGGTATTTAAAATAAAGCTAGGTTTGTGATCTTTTGATAGCTGAATACTTGCTTGATATATCTTTTATCTGAGGATAAAAATAGAATAGCCCTGGCTCTTTTGGACCCATAGAGAGATCAAGACAAAGCCTCCTTCACCAATAGCTTTGCTATTTGAATGGTCCTAACTATTATTTGAAGTTGATAATATAATGGATGATTATTATTTTTTCTGTAGATGTTTAAATGCTGTATCATGAAATTGAAACCTTATTAACCATAATGGAAACTAAGTAGTAAATTTTTAATTTAAAAATTAGGCTGCTTTAGTCATAAATGCACTGTCCATTAAGAATCTTTGATGTTTTCCTTTACTTTCTTTCTACCGATATGAATGAAGTCTACCATCTTCTCTATAACATGCTGAAAGACACTGCAGCTGAAAGTTACTTATTATCCATTCTGCAGCACTTTCTACTCATCAGAAATGATTATTATATCAGGTAAGGTTCATATGTGAGATGACTACATGTATAATTTGAATTGGATATTAAAAGGAAGTTAACAAGGTAGTAGGGCTGAGGAAATATATATGTTATATGTACATAAAATATAAGTGTTTTACTACTTGAGGCAACATTTGAAAAAAAGAATTCATTTATTTTAATTGGGCCAGGAAAGATAACTGCATATAACTATGGTGTGCATGCAACCAGAATGTAAGTATAAATTAACCTGTCGTATATTATTGAATATGTAATAAATTTTTCTGCTTGATACTGCTAGAATGTCTTAAATCCTCCTATTTTAACAAGTAAAGTTTTATCATTTCTTTTTATAGTGTTTAGTAAATGTGTGATCTTCAAATTCAGAAAAGTATTGTGTATATTTTACTTTTTGTAAAATATGATAACATATAGAGTTATACTTTAGAATAGATGATAAGGTCTATATCTAAAAACTGGAAGCATATATAGCAAGAGGCTTATGGGTGACTGAAATTATAGGCTCATGACCATGGTCTTATGTTAATGACAGTTCAAGGTCCTCTTACTTGCTTTACACTCTTCTATGTTTGCAATTATTACATACTAGTTTCTTTGGATTCTCAAAATTTGCTTGAATAATAGAAAAAGAAGTGATATTAGAATGCTAGTTGTATTGTTAACAAAAATTGATAATTCTAAAATAGCATATAGAGCTATTTTTTTCTTCATTCTACTGCAGTGATTGGATCACATCATGATGTTTAGGAGACAGAAACATGTTGAAACTACTAATGCATGCTTTTTAAAAACCACTATAAATTAAAATACATAATTTTATTATGTATTTATTATGTATTCATGATTATTCAGTTACCTAGGAACAAGATTTGCCAGAAGTACCTATTCTCAATAAATACTAATAAATGATAAAACATTTACACATGGCATCCTTAAAAATTTTGTGTTATATGAGTATGTTCTCTCTCTCTCTCTCTCTCTCTCTCTCTGTGTGTGTGTGTGTGTGTGTGTGTGTGTGTGTGTGTGTGTGTATGTATGTATGTATGTACTATGTTTGTATGTATGTATGTATACAGTATTTGTGTAATTTTGTTTCCGTGACCACAGACAGAGGCCAGAGGTCAAATTGGTTGTTGTGCTCTGTTACTTTCTTTCAATTTATCTTGAGACAGTGTCTTTCTCACTGAAACTGGAGGACTACTGTCAGATTCCTTTGGTCCTTCTAGCAACACCCCAGACAGTTACAGATGTGCATATCCATGCCTGCCTTTTTACTTAGGTTCTAGGCATTTGAACTCAGGCCCTCCTACTTGCACAGCTAGTGCTTCTATCTACTGAGCTATCTCCTCAGCCAATACCATCTTTCATCTTAAGGCATTCCTGTGAGGTAGAAATGTGTGACAGGTGCTTTCATTCCATATGTAGACTTAATAAAATCCCCCTCAAAGAGAAGAGTTGTGTTTTTCTTAGTTATCCAAAGAGTGCTCATCACACTGAGGTTAAGGACTAATACTATTCATCTCCAGATCTGATGGTGATTTTCAAATCCCTAGCCATGCAATACGTATTTCTTTTTATTCTTAGTCTTAGGAACAACCACATGATTAAATACACAGAAGGGTAATTAGAATCTCTTTTTCATTGGTTTAGAGTTTTTAGTAGGTTGACAAGCTATGGTTAGTGGTGTTTATATTGTAGTTTGTCTGAATTAATACTTTTCTACAATAGTGTTGAATTTATTAACCAATGAAAATTTGTCTCCCACAAAATTTAAAAGCAAAATGTCTTTTATTTTTCCTTTTCCAGTCAGCAATCATTATTAAGGCCAGAATTACCTTGGGAGATTACGGAAGTGTGATGTGTTTTTAAAACGTTTGATAAATCACACAAATTACTGCTATAGCTGTGCCTATTAAGTGTATATGGCTTCATAAAATAGATGTTTTTTGAAGCATGTTGTATACATAGGTTTTTGCATTACTGTGTAACAGAAATGCCTCAGTCCAGTTTTATAAACTGGTGTTACTGTCCTGAGTAAATGTTCTTCACTGAATTCAAGACATTGCTTGCCACCTAATGCCAAGAATCTCATCTTTTTTTGAAAATGAGTGCTTGTGGCTGTCTAGAGCTATTTCTGTGCTCATAGATATAGGACTAGGGGGTTATTCATTTTCATTAACTTTAGAAACAATACCTTAAATAAATAGATGGGGTTGATAAGTATTTTTGAACACAAGCATGAGTCCCTGCAAACTAGCATATTAAGTCAGTACATATTTTCAGTCGATCACATCACACTCAATTTGGCTCCCTAATGTTCAGACCATCTTTAAGCCTTAATCATATTTTCTCTAAGGAAGTGCAAATGTTAGTGGAATTATTTTCTTATTGGTGCTGGAGAAAAACTAAGTTCTTTTAGCATTCTCTATCCCTTCATAAGAAAATTGATTGATACAAGTAGAAAAGTATTCTCAAATATTTTCTCTCCTCCTTTTAGGCCACAGTATTATAAAATAATTGAGGAGTGTGTTTCCCAGATAGTGCTGCACTGCAGTGGCATGGACCCGGACTTCAAGTACAGGCAGAGATTAGACATTGATCTCACTCACCTAATAGGTATGGATTATACTCTATACTGCCATTCATGGGTCACACCTTCTGTATACTGAGCACATTGAAAGGGTAGGTCTCTCACTGAACTCTCTTAAAATCTGGTAAATGTTTGTTGTTATGGATGCTCAACTAATACAACTATTTGTTTTGAGAATCATAAGAATTCTCTTTATAGGTTCAGATATATTAATCTTTTTGATAAATTTCACTACCACATAGTCAGTTGACAATTAGTTGTCATGTGTCACAAAAATCCATGATTTTTTTTTTAAATAGGTGCATGCCTTGCTGTTTAAAAGCATGACTTTAGTATCTTTTAGTTCAGTTCATCCTCACAGAAAGATTGGGGAAGTTATATGTGCAGGAGAGTCTCAGTATTATAGACATGTTACTACTGGCTCTCAAATTTGAGAAAAGAAATGTCATGAAAAAGAAAATAGCTCAAGTAAGAATGCCATGTAGAAACATTGTTGTAACAGTCTGATCAGTGATGACAAGCTTCTCTTTTGCTATATGTTATGCTCTATGGCTCTGTAGTAGGTAATTGTATTTATAGATGGTTAAAACTATCATTGACTAGGATGAAGCATGAAGTTGCTTGTTTTTAATGAATAAAAGGTTGTTGAATACCATTTATATAATATTTTTCACTACATTGCAGAGGACAGACTCACAAAGGAGTCAGAGATTTAACATTATTTCTCATAAATAATTTTTTGTTTCTTACTATAGGCAATTTAGAGATTTCTGTAAATGACAAATATCAACTGATCAAGATCACTACCTTTTAAATGAATACATTTTAAATAGCCCTTTCTTTATGCACATGTCTGCCTTTGAATGTAACTACTTCTAAGCTGAATTTTCAATGAGCACTGTGAAGGTTTGACTATGTTTGCATTCAAATTGGATCTGCTAACTACATGTCATGTTATGATCTATCATGATTATTTGAAATACTGTTCAGTTATTGTTTTCTGTTATTATTGCATCTAGATTGTTTTCTCATCCTCAAGATTGTAAAAGAATCTGCTAATTGATCTCTGTCACCAAAAATGTATTTTAATACTCAGCTTAATTGAACATTCTCACATGTAAATGCTGGACATTTTCTCACTGCTTTTTCACAGTTAATTGTTATCAGTGAAGATAGGAATTTCAAATGCCAAATATTTTTAGAAATCTTGAACCTTTAACTATGTGAGCTACAACCTCTTCTAGTTGTTTTTGAAAAGTTGATGATTATTGTGGAACTTTCATTAGAATATCCACATGCAAATACACATATACACAAAGTTATCAAGGGCTTCACCCTCCTCCATAAGATGCAGGGGTCTCTATATGAATATCACTTGGACCTGAGTATTCCAGTCTGGGCCGATTTCACATTTCTGTACATCAAATGTTTTTTCTTAAATCATAGCAGATCCTTTTCTAAAACTGTTCAATGGCTTCCATTGGAACTTAGATAGAAATCAAAGTAAAAATCATTGTCAGCTATGACTTATATTGCCCATATAAAGCCAGTTTGGACAATACAACTTTCCTGATTGTATGGAACATTCTAACATTTTTACAACATGAAACACATTAAATACTTGTAGCCAGAGAGAGGGCTTAGGAGTTAAGAATACTTCCTGGTCTTGCAGTGGACCTTGGCTGGACACCCATCACCTACATGACACCTCAGAACCATCTGTACTCTGCTTGATCCTATGTCCTCTTCTGGACTTTGTGGGCACTGCAAACATGTGGTGAACAGACATATATTCAGGAAAAAGATCCATACATATAAAATAATATAAAACAATCAATAAAAATTGATAAAAATCTTTCTTATACATTTGAGTGGAGAAAATTACTTATATTTTAATATATAAGCTAATCAATATATATATAGCTAATAAATATATTTTAAGTACATTTTTTACACTTTACAATATAAATTAATAAATGTATACATATATTAATGCATTGTGTACTTAAAACCATCATTGTATTTAAGATCATAAGCTGTATTAATTCCTTAAAAATTTGCTGTCTTCTCTCCTTGTTTTTCCCTACTCTACTCATACACTGGGTATGTCACTAAAAGTGTCATTGAAAATAGAAATACCTACTAATCTCTCTTATACTGACTTTATTTTAGCTTAATTTTCTCTCACCAGTTTTCTTTACTAAAATCTTATGCAACTAGTGTCATGTAGCAATACTATCTGTGACTATCTTGTTTCATCAAGCATCATATGTTTGAGATTCATCCATGTTATAGTTCATCTATTGATAGTTTGTTCCTGTATATTGTGAAGTAGTATTTATGTATGAATATTAAACAATGTGCATTTCTTGGTGGACAGTTTTGTTCTTTCCAGTGTTCAACTATTGTAATAAAGCTGTTATGGTTCATTTATATAAATGTGCAATTCAGACATATGTTTCATTTTCCTTTGGAGAAGTATTGGGGTAATGCACATGGATATAATCTAAGATTAAAGAGGTTTTTGCATTATGTTTATTAACTAGGCCTGAATAATTTTATGTTTGCTTCCATTTTACAACATACAGAAGTCAAGTAAAAGATTTTCCCTGAAAACCTGAACTGAAGAATGCCACTGCGTCATCCTCCCCAGCGTTTTAGAGGATCATTTTGAGTTTTCATTATCTTGAAAATGGAGTTTTTGCCTCCAGTCTCTATATAATAATGTGTGATTTTCCAATGAATTCTATAGTGGTAAAAGTTGAATTATAATTAACGCCTTTAATTTCAGGGACAATTTCATCTAAGATATTTATTAATGCCTGAAGTTTTTGCTTTAATACTAAAGAAAGAAAATGTGGTATTATTTGTATATTATAATGTAGATTAATTTTCTTTTAATGATAATTCATGTGAGAATTTCAGAATTATATACTTTCAGCCATAATTAGCTAGATATTTCATCTCAAATATTTCTAATCATTTTTGCTTCATCTGAATAGATGCTTGTGTAAACAAGGCAAAAGTTGAAGAAAGTGAGCAAAAAGCAATGGAATTTTCAAAGAAGGTAAATGCCAAAATAATAGTCCTGCATTTTAAATTAATAGTTCAACCCCCAGTATGTAAGTATGTACCCTTAATAACATTTGATTTTGTATGACACTTTATAACTTGTCCTTTCATTTTTGTAGTACATTGTACTACTAAAAGCAAACATTATACAATGTTGATTTATTTCCTATTAAGGTATGATTGTTACTATTTCCTTCTCTCCCATCAACTTAATTCATTAGGTAAGAAAAAAACTAGCCTTGTACTTAATGATAAATAAAATAAAATTAGCTACCTGAAATAATACATAGTTACAATCAAACCACCGAAAAAATTTCCTCCATTTCTTTTCTTTAGCATTCACTTATACCACACAACTCCATAGGGAACTGGGAGAGTTTTAGTTTCCCTTTAAAACTCTGTCTTTTGAACTGGTGATGAAGTTTGGTGGTTAGAATGTTTTTCTATCATGAATAAGGCCCTGGCTTTGGTCCTGAAAATAAAACGGGTTTTGGTATTGATAGCAGTCTAAAGTTGGAATCTATTCTCTTTTCTTGTCTCCTCATTTCTTTTTCTTTAGACTACTTGGAATTTTCTAATTCATTCATTATATGATGTTGTTACTCTGGGTAGGCTTGTTTGAACTTTAAATTCTTCCTTTGTTCTGTGTTTATAAGTGAATTGAATGAGTATAGTCTTTACATTATAATTTCATTTAGATATAAGCTCAACCTTGTCTTATTTTTTCTTTGTTGTTGTTGTTTTGTTTTCATTAAATTTTTGCCCATTTCCCCTTATTTTTTATTTGAATTAAATATAAGATGGTTTTACATGTCAATCCCAGTTCCCACCCCCTCTACTCCTCATCCACCACCACCCCTGCAACTAAAACCCTACCTATCACATATCCTTTCTGTTCCCCAGGGAGGGTGAGGCCTTCCATAGGGGGTCATCAGAGCCTATCATATCCTTTGGGATAGGGCCTAGGCCCACTCCCGTGTGTCTTGGCTCAGGGGGTATTCCTCTATGTGGAATGAGCTCCCAAAGTCCACACCTATGCTAGGAATAAGTACTGAACTACTACAGGAAGTCCTGTAGATTTCCGAGGTTTCCTCACTGAAACCCACGTTCCTGGGGTCTGGATCAGTCCCATGTTGATATCCCAGCTATCAGTCTGGGAACCAAGAGTTCCCCATTGTTCAGGTCAACTGTTTCTGTGGGTTTCACCAGCCTGGACTGGACCCCTTTGCTCATCACTCGTTCTTCTCTGCTACTGGATTCCAGTTCAGTTCAGTAATTATGTGTGGGTGTCTGTCTGCTTCTACTTCCACAGGCTGCTGGATGAGGGTTATCGGGTGACATAGAAATCAGTCATCAATCTCATCATCAGGGGAGGGCATTTAAGGTAGCCTCTCCTCTTTTGCTTACATTGTTAGTTAGTGTCATCTTTGTAGGTCTACAGACATTTCCCTAGTGCCTGAATTCTCTGTAAACCTAAAATTTCTCCCTCTATTATGGCAACTCCTTTCTTGTTTTCTTCTATTCTTCCCCTGACTCAACCTTTTTGCTCCATTATGTCCTCCTCTTCCCTCTTCTTCTCCCCTTCTCATTCTCCTAGCTCCCTCCTCTCTCCTCCCTTGCTCCCAATTTGCTCAGGAGATCTTGTCCCTTTCCCCTTCTCCAGGGGACCTTGTATTTCTCTCTTGGGTCCTCCTTGTTTACTAGCTTCTCTGGCAGTGTGAATAGTAGGCTGGTAATCCTTTACTCTAAGTCTAAAATCCATATATGAGTGAGTACATACCATGTTTGCCTTTTTGGGATTGGATTACCTTGCTCAGAATGGTTTCTTCTAGTTCCATCCATTTTCCTGCAAATTTCAAGATTCCTTTGTTTTTTTTCTGCTGAGTAGTACTCCATTGTGTAGATGTACCACATTTTCTCAAAATTCGAAAACGTAAAGGAAATGGACAATTTTCTGGATAGATTTCACTTACCAAAATGAAATCAAGAACAGATAGGCAACTTAAATAGACCTATAATTCCTAATGAAATAGAAGCAGTCATCAAAAGTCTCTCAACCAAAAAATGGCCAGGAAGGGCCAGTGGCTTCAGTGCAGAATTCTACCAGAAATTCAAGCAACACCTAATACCAATTTTTCTCAAAGTATTCCACACAATGGAAGCAGAAGGTTCTTTGCCAAACTCTTTTTATGGTGCTTCAATAAAGTTGATACCCAAGCCACACAAAGACACAACTAAGAATAAGAACTACAGACCAATATCCCTCATGAACATTGATGCAACAATGCTCAGTAAAATATTGGCAACTCGAATCCAAGTACACATCAGAGAAATCATCCACCATGATCAAGTAGGCTTCATCTCAGGGATGCAAGGATGGTTCAACATACAAAAATCCATCAATGTAATCTACCATATAAACAGATTGAGAATAAAAAAGAATTCTTAAATGAAGTATAAACTAAAGAGAGTATAGAAACCCCCAAAACCGTATATGGTCTATATCAGGATTTGTCATGTATAACTGACTTAATTTTTTCAAGCAGGAAATGTAAAATTGCTACTCATCACTCATTTGTTTCAGGAAAACATTAATGTTTGCATAAAAATATTGGAATCACTAAAACTTAAAGATGATTTGATTGTCAATTTTTTTTGCAAAGTTTCTTCCCAAAGACTGTACTTAATAAGTCTGATGCAGAATATCCATTCCCATGGCAACTTTATTTTTTGCTGATTTATTTTATTTGAATTAGAAACAAGATT